AACAGATATGTCACAAAGGAAAAAACCGCACAACACCAATAAACATGTGAAGAAGTAAACATCCTCTACAATAGTAATCAAGTAGAAAGGCCTGGTGATCTACTTACAGAAATCAGCCACTGAAAACCTTCAGGAGCCTTGTTCTGCCCTGACACACACAGTTGAAACTGACTTGGCAGCAGCTGGTTTGTTTTGGTCTTGGTGCATTAGTAATTGGGAAAATGCAAACCAAGACCCCAAAAGATATCCTTTTATACCCACTTGTTCTGGTTACCTAGTGCCACTCTGACAAGCATATACCATTGTTCTGGTTACCTAGTGCCACTCTGACAAGCATATACCACAAATGGGATGGCCTTAACAAAGAGGAGTTTATTCCTACAATTTGGAGGCTTTAAGTCCAAGTTCAAAGTGCCAGGCTCTAGGGGCTGGGTGAAAGCCCCTCAACCTTGGGCTTTAGCTCTGCCTCTTGCTCTTGGCCCACTGAAGCTAGAGGCTTTTCTTCACTCAGGCAGCTACTGGCTGCTAAGGCTGACAAGCCCAAGGTTGACAAATAAAATGGCACAGTCCCGATGTTACCAAACCGCACGGCAGGCCATTCATTCAAGTCCATTTTAAGTCCCAAGGTCAGCAGAGCATGGCAGGCTGCTGAACGACGACATGGCTACATGCAGGGTCCAAGCATGCCATAAGCTAGAGACCATTCCCAAAGCTGCTGCTTATATACGGAAAGGAGACCACATACCCAAAGCAGCTACTCAGCTGCTTGTGGTAGATCCCACCATGGAGTTGACTGCCAGTCTCATCATGGGGAATAACTATCACCAGCTGCCCAGCCACTCAACCAAGCCCAGCCAAGTTGACACACAAACATAACCACCACACCACTCTATTCCCCAAAAATAAGATATTTGATAATACCAGGTATTGGTGAGGATACAGATCAGCAGAAACTCTATATACTGATAGAGGGAGTATACATTGATTGAACCACTTTGGAAGAGCAGTCTCACTGCTGTTGAGTCAGATCCGATTCATAGCGACCCCTCCTTGGGTTTCCGAGGTGGTATCACTATGGAAGTAGATTGCCCAACTTTCCTTCTGAAGGGTAGCTGGTGGGTTTGAACCGCGAGCCTTCGTTGAACATTCACATACCCTATGATGCAGTTGTTTTACTTCTAGATGTGCCAAAAGATATACAGAATGTTTATAAGCACTCATTTTTATTCACCTTTCCCCAAAAGAAGATTGGAAACAAGCCAAATTGTCTGTTGAAGGAAAATGAATACACAAAAATGTGATATAGTCACACCATGGAATATTATGTAGCAGTGTAAATGAGAGAACTACAGGTATATGTAACACATGGATTAATTATGTTGTTGCTGTTGTTAGGTGCCATCGAATCTGCTCTGCGACCCTATGTACAACAAAACAAAACACTGCCGGGTCCTGTGCCAGCCTCACAATCCTTGTTATACCTCAGTCAACACTGCAGTCACTGTGTCAATCCATCTCATTGAAGGCCTTCCCCTTTTTCACTGACCTTCCACTTTACCAAGCATGATATCCTTCTCCAGGGAATAGTCCCTTCTAACAATATGACCAAAGTAGGTGAGACGAAGTTTGGCCATTCTCACTTCCAAGGAACATACCCGTTGCACTACTTCCAGGACAGAGTTGTTAGTTCTTTTGGCAGTCCTTGTACTTTCAGTATTCTTGGCCAGCACCACAATTCAAAAGCATCAACTCTTCTTTGGTCTTCCTTATTCATTGTCCAGCTTTCACATGCATATGAGGCTATTGAAAATACCATGGCTTGGGTTAGGTGCACATGAGTCATCAAAGAGACATCTTTGCTTTTCAGCACTTTACAGAGGTCCTTTGCAGCCAATTTGCCCAGTGTAATACAATATCTAATTTCTTCACTGTTGTTTCCATTGCTGTTGATTATGGATCCAAGTAATATGAAATCTTTGACAACTTCAATCTTTTCTCCATTTATTGTGATGCTGCTTATTGGTCCATTTGTGAGAATTTCATTTTCTTTATGTTGAGGTATAATCCACACTGCAGACTGTAGTCTTGAAACTTCATCAATAAGTGTGTCAAGTCATCTTCACTTTCAGCAAGCAAGGTTGTGTCATCTGAGTCATCTCAGGTTGTTAATGACTCTTCCTCCAATCCTGATATGTTTTTCTTCATATAGTCCAGCTTCTCAGATTATTTGCTCACATACAGATTAAGTAAGGTAAAAAGATACAACCCTGACACACTCCTTTCCTGATTTTAAATGATGCTGTATCCCCTTGTTCTTTTTGAATGCAATATTGAGTGAAAAAAACAAGTTATAGAACATTACATACAGTATCTATACATAGCTCAAAACCAAGAAAACCTAAACAAATATCAATCAAAATTTAGTTTAATGGGAATTTCTGGGAGTGATGGAAGGCAGGGAAATGCAGTCAGAAGAACACACACATTGATGTGATTAAAAAAAAAAATCCACCGCCATAGAGTCGTATCTGACTTATAGTGACCCCTGATGTGATGGTAATGGAAATATTTTTAAGTCAAGAGATGGGATCACAGGCATTCATTTTGTTGTCATGGTTTATAACTTACACATATATACAATATATGTGTATACATATGTATATACACATGTACATTTGTATGTATTATAAACATGTATATATTCTTTTGTATGTATAAAATAGTATATACTTTATTTCTTAATGACTTGAAATCTGGAAAAATAAAGAATGACAACACCTAAAATTGACCAGAATGTGGTATTAGTGGGTATTACATTGATATAATTTTTAAACATGTAAAAATTACACACAGTAAAATTGACAAATAGTTGGTGAGTTTTGGGAGATTTTGTTTTTAGTATTTGTTTCTGATTGTTCGTTGTTATTATATTGTATATGATTGATCTCTGTGTGTTGATCTTATAACCTATGGTCCTGCTAAACTCACCTATTAGTTATAGGAGTTATTTTGTTTTTGGTGGCTCCTTGGGTTTTTGTATGGAGACAATCATGTCTTCTGTGAATAGGAACAATTATCTTCCTTTCCAGTTTGTATGTCTTTTTATTTCTTTTCCTTGCCTTACTGTAGCTAGAACTCTGACCATAATGTCAAGTAGGAGTCATGACAGTGGACATCTTTGCCTTGTTCTTGATCTTAGAGAGAAAGTATTCAATCTTTCACCATTAATTATGATGTTAGGTGTAGGATTTTGTATAAACTTTATCAAGATGAGGAAGTTCTCTTCTATTCTAAGTTTTCTGAGAGTGTATATCATGAATGGATGCTAAATTTTGTCAAATGCTTTTTTCTGCATCAACTGATATGGTCATGTGTGGCTTTACCTCTTTAGACTATTAATACGGTGGATTACGTTGAGTGATTTTCATGTATTAAACCAGTTTTGCATCCCCATGCATGTTTAAAGTTCACTTGGTAATTATGTAGTATTCTTTTTATGGAATGATGTATTTATTCTTTTTATATATTTTATTTATTACTGGATTCAATTTGCTAATAATACAATTTATTGAGGTTTTTTTCTTTTTTTTCAGTCTATAATTTTCTTTTCTTGCACTATCTTTGCTTTTTAAATAATTATCTTTTTTTTTTTTTAAAAAAAAAAAAAAGGAATCCTAGTGACACAATGGTAAAGTGTTCAGCTGCCAAAAGAAAGGTTGTTGGTTGGAACCTACCAGCTGCTTGGCAGAAGAAAGATGTGGCAGTCTGTTTCTGTAAAGACTACAACCCTGGGAACCCTATGCAGGCATTTCTACTTTGACCTATGGGAACTATGAGTCAGAATTGACTGCCAGGGCCCAATAACAATATAATGTTTTTGGAAGGCAAGCTGTCAATTATAACAAGTCTTAAATTTGTGTGTTCAAGGATCCCAATTCTAAGACTTTATTAAGAAAACAGAGATTCTTATTACACGCAGACTTTGGATTCAGATAGATCTAGATTTTAATACTAATTCATTGCCTTACTAACCACTTAAATTCTGTGGGTTTGTTTCCTAAGCTGTAAATAGGGGAATAAGAGGACCCACATCACACTGTTGTTGTATTAAAAGATAAAATTCAGTGCCCACACCTACTATGCTTTGAGTAAATGCTAGCTCTTGGTACCATGTTATACTGCCCGGCCAAAGTAGGGCAAGTCTGTGCAAATCGGAAACCATCTTTGCCTCATATTAGCCTCTACTTTGTCCTTTCTGGAGAATAGTCTCATTACTGATTCTTCTGTTTTATATTATATGTGCTACGCGTCGGGGATATAAAAACAAAAAGTTATGGTCCCTATTCTGAGGGACCAGAATCTATTACAAACACACACGCAAACTAACCAAGTATCATGCAATTTAACAGCACTATAATGGCGGGTGGGAGCTCTGGTAGCATAGTGGCTAAGACACTTGCCTGCTAACCAGACGGCTGGCGGTTCAAACCCACCAGCCACTCC